ATAAGCCAAGCCAATGCTGCTGCCACCAACCATACCACTGAGAATGATGTTGGTGCCAAGGATGAGGGCCTGGACCCAAACAAACACAACAAGATCCTCAGCCAAGCAATCCACCAAGTTCTCAGTGAACTCAGGTCAATGAACACAGCAGCTTTTCAAAGAACAGGCCAAGGCCACTGGTGATGATGAGGCTGTGCTCTTAGACAAAAACTTCTGCACTGCCCTGGAATAAGAGCTGTGCCCCACAGCTGGTTGGGGCATGAGCCTTGACCAAGTCATCATATTTCTCACAGAATCCAATAACATCAAGGAAGTACTTCTGTTTCCTGCCATGAAACCTGAAGACAAGAAAAAAATGTAGCAACTGTTGATACATTGGAAGGCACAGCAGCTGGCACTTCTGTCTAGAAAATGATAATTGCAAGTTACATAACTCAGGCATCTTTGTACTTCTGCAAAAGATCAAGGACTAGAAGGGAATTCTCATATGTTGCTATCCATTTGACTATCAGGGTTCAGTCACCAGAGAAAGAAAAGGAATTAAGGATTCCTCTTTTGCTTCTTGTTACCAAATAAACCATTCATCTCTATAAATAAATAAATAAATAAATAAATAAATAAATAAATAAATAAATAAATAAATAACAAATTAAAAAACTAGTCACACACCTTTTAGGTAAGTACTATTATCACCCTATGTACAGATGCTGAAACTAGAGGCTCAGAAAGGGTAAGTAACTTGCTAGAGGGCACACTGTGGTAGAATGGGGTGTTGTACCCCAGTTGATTGGGCACTGTAGTAGACAGCCTGCCAGCAGCCTCTAAACTATAAAGACACTGAGACCAACATTATTATACCTTTTGTGCTACTAAGAGTGAATTCGAATGACTCACTTATTCTTTAACAAAAATCTCTAAGTTCTCTATGAAAAAAATGAATTAGATAATAGGGGCGACAGGTGGAGTAAACTCAGAGGAACAAATACAGATTTATTACCCAACTGGAAGGAATTTTCCACTAGTATTCAAAACCAGCCTTAGGACATCCCACTTAATGCCTCACTCAGGGTTCAGTGTTGCACAACTGGAAGGGGGATTGTGATCACCAAATTAGATTATGTTCTTGTCTTTTAGAACAGAAGTCTTGTGAGTACAACCTTCAACATGTTTGCTCTGATCCTCTGTTTCCTTGTCTGCAAAATGGAGGTAAATTTAATTTAATGCTTTGATGTAAGAGAATAAATGAGATACAATACTGACCTTTTGTGCTACTAAAAGATAGCTGTTTGGAAAGATTACATTGGGAATCATAAGGACTGTATCCCAAATCCATTTCTGCCACCGACTCACCATGTAACACTGTAGAATTTGTTCTCCCTTTCTAAATATCTCCCCCCACACCTCAGCTGAACTAGAAAATCTGTAAGTCCCTTTCTTCTCTGAGGTCTACTTATCCTGGGATTCAGTACTTCTAGGTAGTAACTTTTCTAAACCTCCACACTACTAAACTGCTTTCTGAATTCATTCAATGTTCTGTAGCCTTTGCTTTTTTAATTAGCTTTTTTTTTACTGGATTCCCCTAAGTGATTTGTACGTATTTCTATATTACACATCTAGTTCCTGATAATTTTAAATATGTTCTAGAATCCTCTATCAAGTACCTACAATGTAAAGTGCTCTCCCCGCCAATGCTGGAGTGATGCTACACAGAAAATCTGAGTTCCTAAAATCATTTGCTGTTTTATTATCATTATTAACAAGTACATGTTGAGAACATGGTATGTACCAAGGCTGAAACTACAAAAAAGTGGAGGAACATAGGGCCTGGGCAAAAAATCTCCCTAGGAAAGGCCACTATGTGTATCAGTAGGAAGACAGCAATAATGTCCACCAACATGGCTCATATGCAAGGCCAAACTTGTAAGCTCCATGCTTGCTTTTGGTCACTGTTGTATTTCCAGTGCCCTACACAATGCCTAACATGTAATTGATAATCAACAAATATTTGTTGATTAAGTAGTGAAAAAGAAGCATGGAACACAAATGAAATATTTTATATTACTGTTCTTTAAAAGGCTGTATTGTAGGCCTCAGGCAGAAAGCATGTTTGGGAAAATTATCTAGTAGGTAAAATGTGTCTTCAAACTTCTAGTCCAGCTCTTTCTGCCTTCTCTATTAATGAAAAGGGAAAAAACTCTACACAAAGAAGCTTTCTAAATAATTTCTACTGATATGTAAAAAATTAATAATATTTGAAACTTTTTCTTACTGCTCAACCAACGATGTTATACAGAGTTGAGAAGAAGTTTATGCCAAAGTAATTAATCTCTAATATTATAATTTAAATTTCAAGCATCATTGACAGGTAAGCAAAGGAGGATGGACCACTTTTTGATTAGAAAAATGAAAGGACTTTTCATGCTCTTCAGATCAAAGTGATCAACTGTCTATGCTAGGCGTAAGGCTGGCATTCTTATATTTACACTCCAGGTCATTCCTCTTAAGCACAATGACTACCCATCCAAGGTTCTTAAAAGTTTGCTTTTCAACTGCACATTAAAAGCTCATACACAGTGATGAATAGTAACTAGACTTTAGGGAGTGATCATTTGTAATATATACAGGTGTTAAATTATTTTTTAAATTTATTTAATTATTGTCCAAGTACACTTTTCAGGTGGTAAATTATTATGTTGGTTACCTGAAACTTATATAATTAAAAAAATAAATGTTTCTAACAAAGATACCTGCAAGTTGCAATCAGCATAGTGTTTTCAGAATGAATGGAAGTTAATACCAAATCTGTAATGCACATAGTAAAGTTTTTCAAGAGACTTTTGATAAAGTCTCACATACAACATTCAAGATAGTGTATTTTCAGTAATGAATGCAATAACCATTCTATAGTGCATGTAGAGAAGTCTTTTTTAGCTTACTTTTAAAAATATATTCTATTGATTATGCTATTACAGTTGTCCCATTTTCCCCACTTCATTCCCCTCCACCCTGCACACCCGCTCCCACCCATATTCCCCCACATTAGTTCATGCCCATGCGCTATACTTATAAGTTCTTTAGCTTCTACATTATTCATACTATTCTTACCCTCCCCTATTTTTTACCTACCATTTATGCTACTTATTCTCTTTTCCCCCCTCTCTCCTGCTCCCACTCCCCTGTTACTAACCCTCTGTAACTTTGAAATTATTTAAAAATAAAATTTTAATTTTAGAATATTTTAAAAGTTACAGAAAAATTGCAAAGGTACTACAAAGTTCTTGTGTACCTCCACATCTACTTTCCCCTATTTTTAGTCTCTTACATCATTATATTTGCCACAATTCATGAACCACTACTAATACATTATTATTTACTAAAGTTCACACTGTATTTGGATTTCACTAGTTTTCCCCCAGTACCTTTTTGTTGTTGCTCCAGGACGCCATCCAGGATATCACATCATATTTCCTTTGGCTCCTTCTGGGCTGTGACAGCTTCACAGGTTTTCCTGGTTTTTGATGACCGTGACAGTTTTGAGGAGGACCAGTCAAGTATTTTATTGACTGTCCCTTGATTTATGCTTGTCTGGTGTGCTTCTGAATGGTTAGACTGTGGTTCTGTAACTTTTACATATTGGTCATAATCATGTTTAACTTTTGTAACAGACTCAATATAGAGCATATATAAATCTTTTATATATATGTATATATACATATCTTTATATATAGATACATAAAGAAAAAAATATATGTATATAAAAGGCATGATGGTGGGTGGTGATGAGGAAGAGTGAGGTAGCCGACAATAAATAACTAAAAAGAAGCATGTCTACTTTGTACTTTGAGCAACTTGGAGAAAATAAATGACTATGTAGAAAGTTTTGGTTGCCCAGAGTGGTCCAGGCTGACCACATGCAGGCTCATCCTTGCAGTGGGCATAACCTTCCCGAGAAGAGGCTGGGGATGGGTATAGGAGAGAACTGAGCGAGAGGAGATTCCCAAGAGGGGGCTGAAATCTTTCCACAAAAACTGTATCCTAAATCAAGAGCTTTTTTAATCTTGAAGGATTGACTAGCCGACATCTTGTCAAGTGAGAATTCCTCACCACCTTCTGCACAGGTAGACTTGAAGCTAGAGAGTAAAACCAGTTCTGAGAATACCCAAGCATGAGTACAGCCTCAGCACAGGTTCTATTTTAGGAACATTTGGTCATATTCTGCTGCCTCATATTTATACATTGGCAAAACCAGTGGAGCGTCAAAGATACAACCCTTGGCTTCCTTCTTACACCCCACATTTTCATCTATAGAATAGCATGTTCTGAAGGCATGGAAGCAATGGATGGCTGGTTAACCATTATCACACTTGGCCATCTATGGGAGTCCACCTGGATTTGAAAGAGCAAGTGCCCTTTATGTGAGATTAATGTGGGCAGAGAGGGATCAAGTGAGAGAAATGTGAGAGAACCAATAGGTGGAACGCTTGACCATAGCACACTCACACATTTCACAGAGGAGGGGGCTAGGGTTACACCCAGCAACTGCAGATGCCTGAAGGGTAAAAAAGCCAACGCTAAGTATTTGCTGTTTGCTGGCTCCCTTAAGTACCTCCAAAGGCCCAGTAAACGGGGTTGGGTGTTTGGTATCCTTTCTTGGGTCCACAGGAACTTGAAAGAGAGGAGGTGTGTGTATGTGAACTCATGCACTATCCAAGTGAAGGTGTGCCCCAAGGGAATGTGAGTGTGTGAGGGGGCACGGTGGGCTGGTGGAAAATGAGCAAAGACCTGAAAACACTCTAAGATAGGATTTTAGATCTGGCACTGGCTGGGGCAGGAGGAACACATGGGGAGGGGTTGGAGATGGTGGAAGGAGCCCCTGTGGCTATTAGGTCTCAGGACCTAGTCTAGGGCTCTGTACATAAATGACACATCAATTAATGTTCTAATAATAAGACTTATTGAGTACTTAACATTCCTCAGGTACAATAATTCATATACATTACCATCTTTAATCTCTTTTCTGTCTTTTTCTTTCTCTACTTCCTCAATACCCTGTGGGAGGGGTCATAATCTTATTGTCTCCGCTTTACAAATAGGACACTGAACCTCAGAGAGGTCAACTACGAAACTTGCCTAAACTCACATTTGGCAAGTCGCAAAGCTGAGGTTTGAATCCATAGTCTGGGAGCTCAACTTCCGTCTTCTTCCCTGGTGTGAAAGGCCCCAAGGAGAATGATCAGGGTTGGCAGGATGAGGGGGCTGAGCTCCTAGCAGACCTCTCCAGCTCCATGACTTTCTTCCCAGAGTCAGGCCTCCCCCTCTCCCCAGTAGTATTTTTCCCATCCCTAGCCCCAGGGTCTGTCCATCCCAGGGCGCAAAGAGTGGAGCCTTCCACCAAATCCCCTTTAAAGGATAGGGCACAGTGAGAGCAGAAAGGGAATCCTGTCCTCTTTGATCACATGAGCTACCTCACCTCTTCCAGATTCTCACCCTCTTGTGAGAAGAGGTACTTGCCCTGTTGGAGTTCATTCGGTTCAATGGCTCAAGGGGTGGGTGGCCCTTGCCAGCAGTGCAGCAGGATGTGGTGCAGTTGGAGCTTCACAGCGACATCCCCTGCGAGACCATTCCCGCGCTCGGGCAGCAGACTCCATCTGCCCGTCCTTTCCGCTCTAATTTCAGCCGCAACCGCACCCATCTGCGTGCATTTGGAGGCTTGCTTCAGATAATTACTCTGTGAGGTCCTGCTTCCCACCTTAGTGGAGCGCCTGCCAGTGCTGGCCCCTGGAGACTGAAGCTGCAAAGCCCGGGGATTAGCGTTCCCGGGCTGAGGCGACCTCTAGTGCCTGGATCGCTGCACACCACAACACCATCCATATCTACCATGCATTTTCCTTTTCCTTTCTCCCCTCCCCTCTCCTCTTCTCCTCTCCTTTCTCTTTTTTCTTTACTTTCCTTTTCTTTTTTCTTGTATTCTCTTTCCTTTCATTTTTCTTTTCTTCTTTTCTCACCTCCTCTCCCCTCCCTTCCCCTTCCCTGTGCTTTCATTTCCCTTTTTCCTCTTTTCTTTCATGTGCTTTTTTTTTTGCCTGCTCTTTCTTTCTCGCCTTCCTGAATTCTTTCTGCTAAGTGATTTTTAGATTACATGCCTGTTAGCAACTCAAATATGCATTTGGAAAAGTAACTTCCTCCTTGTATACAGTCCCAGGAGTACAACCAGTGTTAATAGTTTTTATCTGTCCTTTTGAAACTGGAAAAGACACTGGAGCTCGTGCTGCCTGTCATGTGCCAAACCCAATAAGCAGAGACAGGGATTGATTGAGTCCTTATGGGCACTTTATTCAGATGGCTGGTGATCTGAGAAGACAGCAGGTTCACACCCTGAAAAAAAAAAACTGTCTTAACATTTTCTTTCCAAGCCAGCTTTTTATAGCAGGGAGTAAACAAGGTGCAGTGAGGGGTTTTGAAATTCAGGGAGGATTAGGTGAAAGAAACTGCAGCATTCTCACCCTGGGCAGTTAGCTGTTCCCATGGGTGGGTGGTCATCTGTCTTCCTGGAACACGAGGGCCCAGATGCCTCCACTTTTCCCCAGGTGGTTGTCTTTAGGAGTGCTCCAGGAGGTTGGCCGTCTCTCACAGGAGCCAGGATGGGCCTTATCTGTAGTTCCTGAAATAATAGCTTTAACATATGCATTACTTACTATGCTTATAACTATATTTGCCTTAAACTAAATTTTCCAACTCTTGAGTCCCCTACCACTTGCGCACTTTTCTCCATGAGAATACTAATACACACACAAAATGTGGTTTAAGTTTTCATACCGGCTTTCTTTGGACTTGAAGACCCTACCAAAATTGTACATGTTCTCTATTCTTTCAACACTTGTGGCTTATTACATTTTCCTTTAGTAAATATACTAGTATAGCCACAATATCACAAACCTGTGACAGAAGTGAAGCATTTTGGTTTAATAGAGAAGAGCACATTTACCATATAAATGTTCAGTTGTTGCTAGTTACTCAAAATGTTTTATGAACTGCATGAGTAGAATTCAGAAGGGCACTACATGCGAATGTAGGAAGGTCATCCTCTGCACTTTACTCAATGCACTTACATAGGCCCCTCCCCCACCTACTTTAAAATAAAAATAGCGTTATACTCTGCACATTTTTAAACGACAACAACAATATATCATGGACATTTATCCTGTCCAACAGATGTAGAGCTACAACGCTACGTCTTATGTTCTATAACTCATGTTCTATTTTAGCACTTCAGTATTCCAGTGTATGGCTGTCCTAGAACTTACTAATTACTGTTTTGATGTACCTTCCAATTCTTTTCTTCACATTGTTTACCTTTACTTACTTCTCACTGCCAACTGCAGTGAACATCTTTGGGCACAGGCCTCTGGTCACTTGAATAAATAACATTAGGCTAAATTTCTGGAAGAGGCTTCTTTGCCAGGTCAAATGGCTGTACATTTAATTTATTTTCGTTTTTGCCTATTTACTTTTTTATTTTGTTGGGTTTTTTTAAATTATATTTTATTGATTATGCTACTACAGTTGTCCTGATTTTTCCCCCTTTGCCCCCTCCACCCAGCATACCACGCCCCCACTCCCTCAGGCCATCTACCACCATTGGTCATGTCCATGGGTCATGTGTATGTTCTTTGTCTACCCCATTTCCTATGCTGTGCTTTACATCCCCATGGCTATGCTGTAACTACCTATACTATCTGTACTTCTTTCTTAAAAAGACTGTATTTAGTTAGTTTTAGAGAGATGGGAAGAAGTAGAGAAAGAGAGGGTGAGAAACACTGATGTGCAAGAGATACAGCAACCCCAACTGAGGACCTGGCCTGCAACCCAGGCATGTGCCCTGACTAGGAGTCCAGCCACTGACCTTTTGGTTTGCATGCCAGTGCTCAATCCACTGAGCCACACCAGCCAGGGCCTATTTGTACTTCTTAATCCCCTGCCTCTTCACCCATTCTCTTCCAACTCCCTCCCATCTGCCAACTATGAAAAGGCTCTCCATGTCCATGATTCTGTCTCTGTTCTTCTACTTTGCTTAGTTTCTTTTTTAGATTCCATCGTTGACAGATAACTATTTTTGCCATTTTATTGTTCATAGTTTAGATCTTCTTTTTCTTAAATAAATCCCTTTAACATTTCATATAACAATGGTCTGGTAATGATGAACCTCTTTAGCTTTTTCTTGTTTGGGAAGCTCTTCATCTGCCCTTCCTTTTTCTTATCAATGTATGGTTGCTTCTGGTGCATCCCCTGCTGGGAACTGGCCTGCAACCCAGGCATGTGCCCTGATGGGGAATCGAACCGCCATCTTTTGGTTCGCAGACCCGTGCTCAGTCCACGGAGCTACACCAGCCAGGGCTGCCCTTCTTTTTTTTAAGTATGTTTTATTGACTATGCTATTACAGTTGTCCCATTTTCCCCCTTTGTCCCCCATCCCTGAACCCCCCTCCGTCCAGCATTCCCATTCCCTTAGTTCATGTCCATGGGTCGTTCGTATGAGTTCTACGGCTTCTCCATTTCCTATACTACTCTTAACCTGCCCCTGTCTATTTTGTATCTATGAATTATGCTTCTTAATCCCTGTGCTTCTCCCCCCATACTCCTCCACCCCTCCCTCCAATAACTCTCCATGTGAACTCCATTTCTGTGATTCTGTTCCTGTTCTACTAGTTTGCCTAGTTTGCTTTTGTTTTTTAGGTTCGGTTGTCATATTAGTGTTCATAGTTTTTTATCTTCTTTTTCTTAGATAAGTCCCCTTAACATTTCATATAATAAGGGCTTGGTGATGATGAACTCCTTTAACTTGACCTTATATGAGAAGCACTTTATCTGCCCTTCCATTCTAAATGATAGCTTTGCTGGATAGAGCAATCTTGGATGTAGGTCCTTGCCTTTCATGACTTTGAATACCTCTTTCTAGCCCCTTCTTGCCTATAAGGTTTCCTTTGAGAAATCAGCTGATAGTCTTATGGGAACTCCTTTGTAGGTGACTGTCTCCTTTTCTCTTGCTGCTTTTAAGATTCTCTTGTTATCTTTAATGTTGGCTAATGTAATTATGACGTGCCTTGGTGTGTTTCTTCTTGAATCCAACTTTTTTAGGACTCTTTCAGCTTCCTGGACTTGCATGTCTATTTCCTTCGCCAGATTGGGGAGGTTTTCCTTCATTATTTTTTCAAATAGATTTCTAATTTCTCGCTCTTTCTCTTCTCCTTCTGACACCTCTAAGATATGAACGTTGGAAAGGCTGAAGATGTTCCAGAGCCTGCTTATACTATCCTCACCTTTGGGATTCTTTTTTTCTTCTTGTTATTCTGATTGGTTGTTTTTTGCTTCAGTATGTGGCAAATCATTAATTTGATGCTTGGCTTCATCCACTCTATTGTTTCCCTGTAAATTGTTCTTTATTTCAATTAGTGTATCTTCATTTCTGACTGGATATTTTTTATGTTTTGAGGCTCTCACTATGTTCTCTGGGTATCCTTATAATCAGTGTTTCACAGCGTGCATCTGATAGATTACTCAACTCCATTTCGTTTAGCTCTTTTTCTGGAGTTCGATCTGTTCTTTCGTTTTGGCCATGTTTCTTTGTCTCCTAGTTTTGGCAGCCTCCCTGTGTTTGTTTCTTTGTATTAGGTAGAGCTGCATTGACTCCATGTCTTGGTAGTGTGGCCTAATGTAGTCAGTGTCCTATAGGGGCCAGTGGTACAGCCTCCCCTTTCACCCAAGCTGGGTACTGAGGTGCACACTTCATGTGGGCTAAGTACACCCTCCTCTTGTGGTGGAGCCTTGATTGTTATTGGCAGACCAATGGGAGGAATTTACCCAGGCAGTGAGCTGCAAAGATTGTCTGTGACCACTGACCAGCAACCTTCACTCTCCATGGTGGAGCAGCTGTGCAGGGGCAGGTTGGCGGTGCTCCAACATGGTCTGTAGCTATCCACTGGGTGTGCTGGCCCTGAGGTTTTTCAAGTGGTGCAGGCCAAGGTCAGCCCCCACCTGTGTTTTGCCACAGGCACCCTGCCTGAGCTATAAAGCAATCTGAGATGGCTGCTAGTTGTGCTGGGCTTGGAGATTCTCGAACTGTGAGTCTAACCTGGCCCACAAGGGCTCACTGAAACCAGATGTTGCTTGTTTGTTAGGATTTAGGAGCCAAGACCAGCCATTCATATGGAAAAGCAACTTGGGGGACCTGTACATTGGATGGGGCAGAGCCTCCGGGGATCTCCAAGGTGCATCAAACAGTGTTAGCCAGGTGGGTGGAATTTCAGATATGGCACCAGCTTGCCAACTCTGTGGGGGAGGCTTAGCAAAGGGAGAATGGCCTCTGCTCACCTTCATGCCAGACACTTCAGTTTCTCCCAGTATGTCACTGGTGCCTTTTAAGCTGCTAGCCCAGTGCTGGAGCTCACAGGGAATGACTCTCAGTAGGTGAGTCTGTGTGTGTTGTTTAAGAGGAACTACTTGGGGCTCCAGCAGTTTCTTCTACCCACTCAAGCAATCCCTGCTGGATTTGCAGCCAGAAGTTGTGGGGACTTATCTCCCTGGTAGTGAAACCCTGAGCTAGGGGGCCTGGTGTAGGGCTGGGACTCCTTGCTCCCAAGATTTCCCTCCC